TTTGAGCACCTCAAGATGTGGAAGATTGCCGACCTTGGCCGCCAAGTCTTCCCACGAGAGGGTGGCCATTGCTAACGTCAACTTCCTGAGCGAATTTGGGAACACGAGGCTCAGAGCCAAGTCGTGTTCTTGTCTTGTGAACCGGTCTTCCTGGCATTTAAATCTGCACCAAAGTGATTCCACTACACGCAGCCGGCAGAGATTGTCGAGACGGTAATCATCACGCGACGAGGTTTCCGTGTACGTTAGAATCAGATTCAGCTTCTTCACATTGGGGATTCTCCTGACCGCCTCCTCACCCCACTTGGAAGTCTCCACCGTCTTGAGCGTCTGTAGGTCCCACAGAACAGTCGAATCATCGTCACGGCTGGTTGGGGGTTCCGGAAGATGGAACGTGAAAATATTCACGTGCCTCAGTCGAGGCATCCTCCATATGTCGATCACTGGTGGAGCAGAAAAATCAACATCTTCAAGGTGGATTATCAACGTCTGTAGATTCCAGAGGTAGTAGAACGAAGAAGGGAACCGGTCGGGTCTCGATAACCGAGCCTTGGCCACAATGTGTCGCGAGTTGACCGGCCGGAAGATGTCTTTCAGGGAATACGTGTATTCCATAAATGAAAACATTAATGGTAATTCGATGCCGTGCCCGTGCTGGTGGAACACCTTCAACAATCGGCAAGGACGACGCCGTGTCGGTGCGAATTTGCCCGCACTACAAATCAACGAACGAGCAAGTGTTGCGGATCGAACGGCGTTACGAACTGCCCGGGGAACGTGTTTGCTACTCCCTTCTCGTCTCTGAATTCCTATGCGCCGTTCGGTGTGCCAGATTTGCTCGGTGTTGGGTCTATCTGTTGCTGCTACACAAAAGAATCTGTCCTTTTCGGCTTCTTTCATGCATAGGTCCCTCAACAGATCATGGATCCCGAAACGCTTCACGTCTCCATGGTCCCCCAGCTCCTGAACTAAGATAAGATTTCTCTGGACAAGATCCTTTAAGTACTCCTCAGCGGCGGCCTCCAGGGTTTTATCTCCCATCGGTTTCAAAAACCCTTCGGCCACCCATAGCTTGACGAGCGTGGAGGCTCTGACCAGATGGTCCTCAGGGAATATTCCCATGTAAATAAAACACGGCTTTAGATGGACCGGCAAATGGTCATAGCTCAAACGTAGTATTCTCAAGCACCGTTCATTGTCGTTTAAATTCACTACCGAATTTAGATTTTCCGCAATGTATTGCCAGTGTTTGCGCGTTTGGACGGACATGGCGAGTAGTCCTCCGATCACCACAATCGACAAAGGAAGGCCTTTGCAGTTGTTCGAAATCTTCTTCCCGATTTCTTCCAATTCCGGAGGGCAGTCTTTTTCTCCAAAGACACTTTTCCGGAACAACTTCCAGCTGTTATCCTCGTTTAGAAATCCCATCTCGAGGCCACGAGAGCCGCTCAGCTCGAAAGCCAAGTCGGACAGCCGAGTAGTTATAACTATCCTACTCCCATTATTATTATCCGGAAAGAAAAACTTGACCTTGTCCCACGCGCGGACGCTCCATACGTCGTCCATCACAATCAAATACTTTTGACCACATAATGTTTT